AGCTAAGCCCCTCGCCGTGCTGCATTGCAGCCGGTGGAACCTCGGTTCGATACATTTGCCATGACATCATTGTGCTGTTGCTGTTTTCCGAAATGATGCGTTCACGAACCAAACAGCCTCTACGGAGCAGCTTTGAAACGTTAAAAAGGCCCATTCTACTTATTACTAATAATTCATTGAACCGTTATTCCAGTAAAGTCTTTCATTACCGTGCACCAAGACGATGACACCTCATAAAATCATAATAATGTTCAACTAAAAACAGCAGACAATTCCCACATTTTGTGTCATTATTGATTTGATTTGAATAAATTATGATTCTTAATGGACTCTTAGTCAGTCTGACATAATTTTCTTATAGGTAATCAATATGAATATCTATCATATGCCATGTTTAGAGGGATGATAGAAACAGAACATAAATTGTTTTAGTAAATGACTGTGCATGGTTAAATTGGTGTTTTCTCTCTTTCTATTTAAAAGAAGAAAGATCTTAAATACCTAAAGTTTGATACCACTCTTATGGGGCCTTGAATATGCGTTATTTACGGACTCACTTAAAGTTTAATAGTAATTGATTTTCTCATATAGGAAGTTATAGTGTTATTGTTCCATGAGCCATTTCTCAGTAGTCCTGGGATGCTTGCTCCTTTTGGGTGGAGATGTTTGGTGAGCAAGCTGTATCTCTATTTAGTTTATTTTACCTGCCATTTAAGCTATTTGAAATAACAAAAAAAAAAAAACAACAACAAAAAAACAACATTTTAATGCAACACCACATCCTCACGACTACACATCACCAGCTTTATTAAAAAGGCTTTCAGTGTTTGAGATATAGCACCGGTTGTAGTGTTTAGAATGAATGTTTTATGCATGATGACGGATTTCAGCAGCGGGGTGTTTCTATAAACTTCTAAATTTACCTTTCAATGACTTAGAATAACCATAAATTAAAAACAAGATAAAAAAAGGCACTTGAAATATTTTTTCTTTTCATGTTCTATTCTAAGAATATCTTCACAGATGTGCATTATACCTTACCATACCATATCATACCATACCGTACAGTTGTTTAGTCCCTCTGTTAGTTAGCCCGGAAAAAAATTGTATATTGGATGGGGTAATTGTTGGGTTTGTGTTTGTGTCTTGCAGGTCGGGTCGTCACACCTCACACTATGTTGGGTTACTTACCTCACAGGGGCGGCAGTCCTCTTCTCTGCCTGTGGGTGTTGCTTTTGCCCCTGGTCTCCCTGCAGTCCCCTAACCGCCACAGGTCTCCGGATCAGGGTGTGGAGGACCGGCCCAAGCTGCTGCTGGTGTCCTTTGACGGTTTCCGCTGGGACTACATTTACCGCGTCCCCACGCCTAACTTCCGCAGCATCATGGAGGAAGGGGTGAAAGTTGAGTACGTGGAGAATGCTTACATCACCAAGACCTTCCCCAACCATTACAGCCTGGTGACGGGGCTGTTTGCCGAGTCGCACGGCATCGTGGCCAACGAGATGTACGACCCCGCTCTGAACTTGTCTTTCTCCATGGAGACGGACAGCATTTACGATTCAAGGTGGTGGGACGAGGCCGTGCCTCTCTGGGTGAGCATCCAGAAGGCCGGAGGCCGAAGCGGGGCGGCCATGTGGCCGGGGTCCGATGTCGAGATCCACGGCATGTTCCCCACGCAGTACCTCCAATACAACGCGTCCGTCTCCTTTGAAGCCCGCGTGAGGAAGGTAGTCGAGTGGTTCTCTGCACCTGAAGGGGAAGCGGTGGATTTTGCAGTGCTGTACTGGGAGGAGCCGGACGAGAGTGGCCACAGACTGGGACCACAGAGCCCACTAATGGACGAGGTCATCGCGGGAATCGACGAGAAGCTCGGCTTCCTCTTGAATGAGCTCAAGAAAGCCGGCCTGTACGAGAAAGTGAACCTCATAGTGACCAGTGACCATGGGATGGCACAGCTTTCTCCTGAGAAGATCATAGAGCTGGATGAGTATGTGGACAGGGACCTGTACACCTGGGTGGATAAGAGTCCTGTGGTGGGAATCCTCCCCAAAGAAGGTAACAACAATGCATCTCTTTGAGGAGTTCCACAATCGCTTTTTCTTCTCACACATGCTTGTTATGTGTTTTACATTGCATGCTTTATTTTTTACCACCAAGGATTTTTGTGATGCACAGATATTTTGCAATGGCTTTACTAGTATAATAACTCACTACACCTATTTCCCATGTTCCTGACCAGATGCACGAGAATTTGCTAGACGACTCAAGACTTTTGCACAGCACTGTGGGGCTTCTGCAAATACAGAGCTCATGTTCAGCCTCTCCCCATCCCTGTGCTCGTCTCTTATCTCGCAGGGAAGCTCGATGAGGTGTACGGCTCGCTGGTGGACGCCAACCCGAACATGGCGGCCTACAAGAGAGAGAACATTCCGGAGCACTTCCATTATCGGCACAACATCAGGATCATGCCCATCCTCTTAGAGGCCAAGGAGGGGTGGACCATCATGCAGAACCGAACAGGACACTTCATGCGTGAGTTATCAGGAGCCATTAAAGCTGCGCTGTGATCTTTTTGCGGTGTGTGGCTCTGCGTATCGTGAAGCACGGCTCGTCTGGGGGGGTTTGAACAGCAGCTTTTGTCTGCTCTAATAATAGCTTCACGGGAGATTTATTCCAGTCTCTGAGCTACAGGAAGAAAGTGTTACATCAAATGTAATTAACAAAGAAAGATTAAGTTCCCCTAGCTATAAAAAAATTGAGGTCTTTTTCTTTGATTTCATAGAAATCTGGGGTCTACTTTTTAACCGTTTTGTGTCCAAGCGACTTTTGACTCCAGCTAATTTGATTGTTTCTAATTGTCCTCTATGTTTAAAAGCCAGCTAATCTGTGAGAATCTGCTGACTCTCAGTGATAACCTGAAATGACAGTGTTTGCTTTGTTACATGTCTGTAGGTTGACATTATCCTGCACTTTTATTCATTTGTTTGATGATTTTAGAATAAAAGGCCTTTACAATTCCACCATGTCCTCATTTTCCAGTGCTTGTTGCTATTAATAGAGAATAGATATGATCGGTGAGCTGTTCAGTGGATTTCAGTATAGTCTCAAAAATATCTGAGCACTGACCCTAATTCTGTGTAATACTTGCTGTCAGCAGATGGTGCTCCCATCTAAGTCGCAGGAAGGATCTTTGGAGTTGCAGCGCTTTGATATTTGTGCGTTGGGAGGTTGTTGATGTGAACCAAAAATGTGGTAAAAATGGCCCTTGGTGCAAGTGAAAAGCCCCCCCCAATTTTGTGGCTAAACTGAAACGAATCGATCATGCAGATAGTGGAGAACAAGGAAATAGGAGCAGTCAACAGCTGGGTAGATTTGGTGACATCTTAAAGTTTTGCTTAAAGTGCCACTAGAAAAAGATTTAGCTATTTGTGTCTTCTCTGTTATGCGTTCGTATTTGTGTGACCTGCATGATATCTTTAATGTTCCAACTGGATCTTAGTGTGTATTGATCTTTTTACGCTCAGATAATACTTTTTCTTTGGTGTTTAGAATTGTTCCGGACATCAGGCAGTCCTAGCTTTCAGAGGATTAACGACAAAGTGTTAGATATGAATACTAACCACTATTAAAAAACGGGATCCTACACATTGAAAAGCTGTGCTGTCCAAAGGCCTTTAGTTGAACACATTTATCCTGTGGTTTTTTATTTTTTCATGCTTACTAGAAACTCTCTTCCTTTTCAGTGGGGAATCACGGCTACGACAACACCATACGAAACATGCAGCCCGTGTTCGTGGCCCGTGGGCCGGCCTTTCGCCAGAATTACCTCAAGACTTCCATGCGCTCTGTTGACCTTTACCCTCTCATGTGCCACATCCTGTCCATCCACCCTCTGCCAAACAACGGCTCTCTCCAGTTTATTCAGGACCTCTTGTCGTCGGAACCAACTCCCTCCACGGCCACCCCACCACACCAAACCATCGCTCCTAAGGTTAGCGGCTACTCCTACGCCCCGGTTATAGGTTCCTTCATCGGTGTGGTCATGGTGTTGGGCTTCTTAGTGGTCTACATCGTACTGGTGACTGTCAAACAGCGGCCCGTGCTAAAACACAGAAGCTGGGAGATGTCGCAGCCTTTACTGCAAGAGGACTTGCACCTGTAGCTGAACAGAACGGATGGCAGACGTAAAAGAAGAGCAGTAATGCTCCCCAAGATGTTCCCTAACACAGAAGCATCCCCATTGTTACACCTCTAAATACGATTGTGCTGCTTTTTTTTGTTGATCTTAGGGCAAGAAAATCTAATCTAACCTCCTAATCAGGTATAGAGACCGAATAATTGCCACATTTGCAGGGTTTGCTTCTGGTTTAGGATTAACTCAAATAATAAACCTTTAAATGTGTTCTTAGTGGCATTTCTTTGATTGTGAGTTTTACCAAATATCATGTCGACATTTACATTATCACTTAAAACATAGAGATTCAGTACTAAGAGTGGAATTATGGCTTGTGGTTTTATCAAATCTGGACATTGATGGCCCTTTTCCACTGGTACTTGCTCAGTGAGGCTAGTTATTTTTTGGTTTTCCCTGCCATTGGCCCTACTCGACCAAGTAGGTGATAAAGTCCTAGGGGAAATTCCCTGATAGTTTTAACAACGCAGCAAGAGTGCAAATGACTATAGACTGGAGCCAGCATCACAAGGTATACTATTGCAGTGTCATTTTTTTCTGCATTTTGTTTAAAGTCGCATAAAAAAAACACAGGACTTCTAGGCTGGCTTTCTGTAATCATGCCAATGACATTGACTTTATTCTCCCTTGTGAGGGAAAACGACCCAAACCAAGTCGAGCTGAGTTGAATAAAGTCGAGAGTCGAGTACCAGTGGCACCAGTGGAAAAGGGCAAATAGAAGCCACATCTGTGACTTGGATAAGATCAAGATAAAGTCTTTCTAAAGAAAAAAAAACAACTGTTAACCAAAAGTGCTCATAGTCATTCTTCAGAGTTCATGCTTTTCACAAATCTTTAATGGTAATTCTCGTCAAGTCAACGAGCGTCCTTGTAGACCACCTTGTGGAGGTCTCTGTCTGTAGTAAAAAGTTGTACTTGGCACTTGTGTTTTTCTGTATGTGTCCCTAGATAAGATAAATGTTAGACACGAAGCCGCTGAGTTGCACAAGTTGCAATGCTACGAATGCAGTGTTAGCTATTGCCTCTAAGGCAACTAAAGCTAACTGTGGAGCCTTTCTTTTTTTTCCATTTGTCCTTTTTATATTTAACTGAATGTCCTTTTAGATTCAAAGTCTGTTCGATTAAATGCCTCAGTTTTTAGCTCAGAATGATTCTGAATGGAACCACATCTACTCTCTCCGTTTGAAGTCTGAAATCGATTTCAGGAAAAAACTGATTGGCCTTTATTGCAGCACTCCAGCACGTTCACAGAAAAGTGTAGAACTGCGCACACCTTCAGACAATCTTACCCTAAAGGCATTCATAGTGTATCTCAGTTGTATGCAAGAAAATATAAGTCAAATTAAGAAAAGGGAATGTGGGCTGGGATACAAAGTTCCAGAGGTTTTTAATGTTTTAGCTGTTGAACTATGGGCACATGTGAGCCATGCTGACCGCTCCGCAGCTCAACAGCGGGAGTTTAAGAGTTTTCGACATTTTCAAATCTATGCAAAACGGATTTGTATGTCTCGAAGCAAAGACGGATCGGCGTTGTTCCAACTTTCCGCGCCTTGTTCGGTTCGTTGTCCGAGCACCGAACAGGATGTTATTTTGAACTATAAATGCTGTGATTATTCTAAAGTATTCAGTTGCCTCCTGTAGTTTCAGGAGGCTGGCTGTAGATACTGTTTCCCTTTTTTCCACTATGTGTCCGGCAACTTCTCACGTGTGGACTTCATTCTAGGAGCAAATCACATCATTACTTTGTTATTGCTTGTTTTTTTAGCAGTCGGTTACCATTTGCCTTTAAAAAAAAAAAAACCTTAGAAGCGTTTGTTTGTTTGTGTGCCAGTCAAATTTTTTTTTTTGTGTAGAATTTGCTTTTAGAGGGCACTTTTTTCCCCTGTAAAGATGTCTACATAGCGCCCTCCTTGTCATTTGTTGGCTTGTCATAACCGTGACCATATTGTTGGTGAAACGTGAAGTGCAATTGCTATTGGTCCGTTTATTGTCTTAGGGATTTTAGGTTTTATCGTTGTTTGGTTGAGAAGACTTGTGCCAACGTGACCTGCTAGAACTGAACCCCTAATTTGCACTAAAGGATTGAAGCGAGTGAGGACGAAGGGGCGTTCTTTGGAGGCTTTGTAGAACATGCAGCTGATTCTTTGCACTTATACTTTGTCGTCAGTGTTTGCAACTCTTACAAGAAAAAAAGGTCAGTGCCTCTTGCTTAAAGATTTTTTTTGATTGATGTAATTATAGAATTAGACAGAAGATGCAGAATCCAAATGAATTACTCCTGATATTTCTTTCCACTTTGTTCAAGAAACTTCGAGGCATTGAATTACACCTGTGGCCAAAAAGAAATGACATCACTGTGATATGTGCTTTTTAAAGAGGCTGAAATTCATATATTTAAAACATTTCTATGGGAATTGCTAACTTTCTGATCGCTTAAATGTTTTAGTACGGAAAAGTGTTATCTGACAATTATTCCCTTGTCGGCAGAGAAAAAATATATCCAGACTATATTTCAAAATTATTCTTTTAAAATTGTTTTGAAAACAATTACTATTATCAGTGTGTTATTTCCTTGGATTTGAGATGTGGAAATTTAATATGACTGACAAATGATCTATCTTTCCCATGTTGGTGCAATTACAGAGTCTTCTGAAAATAAAAGGACTTATACAAAAAACTCTCTTCTGTGTTTTTTTTTTTTTTTTCTTAAGTCACGCTCTTGTAGAAGGCCAGCACACATTGTTATTATTGAGCAAAGACTAAACCAAAATGAACAAGCGCTCTGTAAAACCTAAGTCCATCCCCTTGTGTGATGACTTGTAGAACCACCTTTAGCACCAGCAGCTTGGAATAATAGTTATATTATCAGCCTCTTACGTAACTGCCTGTGCATTTTCTCCCCCTCTATCTTTACAAGGTTGCTCCAGTTTACTGCATTCATTCGCATTAGTTTTTTTTCTCCACTGCTTTTTCAAGGTGTGCAGAACAGTTTCCGGTTGAGTCATTACATTAACATATTTATTCACATATAATTAGGCTGGGAATCCATCTAGTCTGGCCAAAACTTGACTTAAAACCCATGGGCCCAGCTCCTGTTGCTTGAAAACCTCCACCGTCCAAAAGACACTTTTCCGGAAGTCCTGCTGTTTAAGATTTTATAAAGTCACACCATGCTTGTTTTAGAGAGGCCGTGATCTCTTTTGTCATAAGCAGAGCTTTCAACGATAATTTGTCTTGAAATGACCTTTTAACTTCTTTGCAGATTGACAGGCTGATAAGGTCGCCTCTCAAAGCCCGTCGCCGATGTCCTTCCTCCCTGGTATTGTGTGAACGCACACCCGCAGGCTCCAGATCGGCATACTGCCAGGACCTCTTCTTTTATTAATGACGATCAATTAATGAGTGTGTGATTAGCCTATCTGATAAGCCGGACCTGGCTGCTTCTAATCCTGTTTTTTTTTACTCACAGCTTCTGCATTGTAATTTGAACCAAAAAGCGTCACATAACGTGCATCATTGTACAATAGGACAAATTTGACTGCAGCCCCTATACATAAAACACCAAAGTTGAAAGGTGGTTGACTCGCTCTTTCACGAGGAAGTTAAACTTCCAGAAAACGTTGCACAAACTCAAGGTTACACCTCGGTTATCTTGAACGTGTTGCAGAGGGTTCTTTCTTTTCTCCTTGTGGCACCGAACAGTGGGGATGTTTTCAACTTTTTATCTTGTGTTTGCACTTTGAGGCAGAGGTCTGTCATACTTTTTCTCACTTGAACTCTGTCTTGGTGTCCTTGAAGACGCACGGGCCGCAGCGTTTGCCTTATTCACTGGTTAACTTGCGGGATCAAAGGTCCTCTTTTATGAGATATCACTGCGGTTTGGCCGGGCGCTCAGTCAGTCAGAGGCAGGCGGACAGCCAGAGAGGACCATCGGTGCTTCCACTCCACAGCTCTTCCCCCAGATAAAGCCAGCCAGCATGGATAACCACTACGACACCACTATCGACCTGGGAGACGACTTGGCGCCCAAATACGAGACCCCGGGTGAGGAGAGGTACAGCGAGGTGCAGGTCCACGCCTCCGCGGAGGCAGAGCGGGACGCCTCGGACTACATGGAAATCCGGGAATTGGAGAGGAAAGACAGCTCTTCTTCGTCCTCTTCGTCCTCCAGCGACGAGGAGGAGGCCAAAGCCAAGGCTGAGGAGGGGGAACGGGTAGATTCGCCGCCCGCTGGGGAGGTGGAAGAGGCGCACGGCTCGTCCAGGCGCTCATCAGCCTCCTCGAAGTCCTCCTCCTCCTCCTCTTCTTCCCACGGAGACCCGTGCGACGACCCGCCGGTCCAGACCTTGGTCCAGCTCGAGGATAACGCCGCGGAGGGGATGATGATGGCCTACACTCATACTGAAATCAAGGCCAAGCCGGAGGAGTCGGTGGACTACAGCCTGAAAACCCTGGAGCACGTCGCCCTGGGTGACAGCGGCGCGGCGCCGGCCGACCCCAGCCAGCCCGTCGTCTCCCTGTTCGTCAAGGTAAACACAACAACAACAGCAACAACACAAAAGCACGGGAGATCTGCACTACGGTAGAACTTTAGGAGGGATGACACGGTTTTTAAACGCTCCAAGTTCAGCAGTGAACCTACGTCCGTAAACGCATCAAACGACCACTTTGGGCATCAGAAACATGAGCGATCTCTTCAGGTTTGTGTGAGACAGAAACTCACCTTGACAATTTCCAATGAGGCAACGCCCACATCAAATGGCTTGAATGGTATATCTTATCTTTATAGCCACCGTAATTGCAGGGTTAACCCCTGAAGCCTGACTAATAAAAGTCATATAATCTAGTAATTTTGGCAAGAAGTGCCCGCATAGATCTCTGTGGATCCGAAGGACTGATTTCAGAAATGTCACATATAGGCATTGTTGTCTATCTTGCAGGATTTTTGCCTGTAGCGTAAATCTGGATTGGTTCGATCTAATGATTAACCAGTTTACTGTAAGGCCGTAGTAACTGGGGGTGGACTTCATGCCCATGGAAATAATCACGAGGGGGTCGCTTTGCTGATTGGGCTGCTGAGATTGAGGTATTAAACTGGAATCAGGGAGCTCTCTTTCTCGCTTTAAGCCTAGCAAATGATTTATAGGAAAAGTTAAGGCCTGAAAATGTTAATATTGTCCTTAAATTTGGAAATATATGAAAAAATGTCAAAATTCTATGGTCTGACTTAGATGAGAAGTAGCTAAAATGCTCACAATTCTGTGTTTGTATGGCTACCCACATTAACGGTTCACATTTATGTCCCTTTTAGCCTTGACTTGGCTCAACAAAGATCTTTATTTTCATTGACACACACTCCAATTCTAACAGCTTAGTCCAGGTCTCTGCAGCGTCCATTGTTTGAGCCCTTCTTAACTTTGTGTCTGCGTCTTTACTAAAAAGACAAATGACACAGTAATTCATGATACAATTTCTGGTTTGTTTTAATCTGAATTTTGTTGGCAATCAGGGCTGGGATAAACTCTACTGTCACAGAGGTCGGACGTTAAAGTTGGTACCTCACAAATGGCTAAAAGAACACACATTGAACATGACTGTGCTATCTGTGTGTTGTTACGTCAAGTTATGATAAACACAGATCCTTGGCCCCTTCGTCAACTATAACCACACCTCTTTCACACTATCTCACCCTTCTATCTGAGTGAATCCAAGCTGTGTGTGCGTTTTCCGGCGGTTTAATATTCAACTACTGCCATAAATGTATCATTTTGGCCGTAAAAGTAGGGAGGAGAGTTGGGACATCATCTGTTTAGTACTGATGGCTTGTGTGACTCCTCCACCACACAGTCAGTTATTGCTCCTATCAATGAAAGGCGTTTTCACATGGGGCGATGTTCTATTTTTAATTAAGATAGCATGATATGTCAGTCCACATTCACAGAGTCTATATTCACTGATAGTTGAAGTCAGAGCTTAAGACAATGTGAGTGATTAACCTGTGTCAACAGGAGGGAGGAATTCAAACACTCCCCCTTCACCTTGGATCCGCAAAGACACAAACGTCTGTTACTGTTTGATGCTGATAGTAAATGATTAGCTCGAGAAGTCAGGGATTTGAACTTCGCCTTGTCTAAAAATTAAAACATTGTTAAGAAATCACTGAAAAAGACACAAGGACCAAGGTTGTCCCCAATATTTCTGTAAAAGACTAAATGTTGTTTGACAATGACAAGATGTGAAAAACAAAACAGTTTTTGTGTTTGCACGGTGAGTTTAAGGTGACAGTGGACCAAGAGAGCCAATAGACACAAATGATTAAACTACTTAAGAAAAAAAAGTAAGCGGACAGAGTTCCAATCTTTATAGGCATTACATAATTACATAATTTACGTATCATGGCATAATAAAATCATCCGATCTTTCCCAGGCCCCCAAATCAGATAAAAACACTCAGTCGAACTACAACACATGATATAGACAGTGTGTGGCAAAACTCAACGGCAACTTTAGTGATCACCAGTAAGTGTGAGGACCTCTGTTAAGGCAAATGTTTTGAGAGCTTGGTGGTGTGTGTCATCACAATGTAAAAGAGGAAAGACATCAGGGAAGCAATGTTTTCTGACGATCAGGTTCAGAACTGCGATTTATATCAATTTGAGATTCCAGTGCTCGAATAAAGTATATGGAACCCCCCAAAAACTACATCTCAGACCCTATGGGCCTCAGTTAACGTTTCAGATGTTTCAGCTCAGTTTGAACACAAGGATGGCAGGTCTGGGAGGATCATCAAGAGAAAGCCTTCCTTCCTAAATTAGATTAAAAAACAACAGGTTTAGTGGGTTAGACAGGCCAGACTATAGCGGAGATGTTTGGTCACATTTGGTGAAAAACAAACACACCACACGACGTGTGGATTAAATCAGTTCTGTAGTGATCAGTTCTCAGTCAGTTCTATTAAATTGAGATGTTTGTCTGCATTCCTCCTCATAAAAGGCTGATAATAAGCAGCTTTAGTTGGTTTAACACTGTGTCGTAGTGTGTCAGCCAGAAGAGGGAGCTGCTCTGTAAACATATATCTCCCACCGGTTTCTGCTCTCCTGTTTTCATCTCACTTTCAGCTCACAAGATATTTTTCTTGGTTAAACTGCCTCTCAGAGCCTGGTCGACAAATGTGAGACACTTTTATGTTGAATTGAATTCTGCTGTACAGAAAAAGGTGACAGAAAAAGAGACTAAAAGTGATACCAACATCCTATTTTTGTTCTTTTTTATTGGACCACAGTGAAATGAAAGCAGTTTTGGAGAGGACATGACAGTTCAAAGTCTATATTCTTGCAGTGATGTGGTCCAGTACTGTGAGTTTGTTTGCAGTGGGAGAGGGGGGGGGGCAGTGAGAGATGGGGCCACACCCCCTGGTATAGCCTGACACCTGTCTTCCACTTAGTGTCAGTGAGATCTGCCCCTGCTCTCCATCTGTGTCTAAATCAGAGCAGGAGGCTCTGACCGACACCTCGGGTGACCTTCAGCATCACCTGGAAAAAAGTCACTTTTAGAGAAAAAAGCTGTCTTTGTTGGAGAAAACCCCGCTGATCCATCCATCTGGAGTCGGGAGGACAGAGGGCTGCGGAATTAGCTTTTTAATGGATGATGTAGACCTCCAGGGATAAGAGAGTTTCACAGGAAAATAAGAAAAAACTTGCGTTTGTTGCTAAAAACCAGGCGCCATGTCCACAAACTATCAAGACAGGGACCCTGATATTGAGCTCTTTGTAAAGGTAAGACAGAAGTGCAATAGCTGTATTGAGGTAAGCTTTAAATTGACTTATTTATGCTTATTTTTATGAAGTTACAGACAGAATTCTGGCAGGATTTCTTTTAGATGGGCACTGCTGTGTGACATAGAAAACGAATATGTGCAACCTGAGAGCAGAGGTAGAGTTACAGCAGATCTGACCCAGGATTGTTGTGACAGTGACACTGAAGCCGCTCGCCGGTGATGGGAGGCTAAAAAAAAACTCTTCCAATTAAGTCAGCCTGCAACTTAATCGTGCTAAGATGATAGAAATAACTTCGATGGAGGCTCGTCTGCGAACGCAAAAATGTTTTCCTCTCAGCGAGCAGGTGAGAGCTGCTGCGAGCAGGTGAATGAAGCTGAGTCAGGTGGGGTGGTTAAGCTGGTGTGTGGATCCACTGAGCTGGCATGATGCCTGGCATTAGTCAGTCCACCTCCTAGGAAACCAGACAACCAGGCAGCCGTGAGTTCACTAACACATACAGCCAGATAACAAGATCTTGACCTTTGGGGTTTGCAATGGATGAGCTGTACAAAGCAATATTATTAAGCCAAGCATCTTAAATGGTCACTCTTTTAATAAAACCCATACAGATTTTTTTCATGTTTGGTATCTGATGCACAAACCTATATTTAGTTAAAAGAGAGAGAGCAGTTTCCATAGTAGCTGTTATCCTAATATTAGCTCTTTCCTCTTCCTGTGGTCTGAGTGAGATGTGGCCTAGATGGACAGAGATCTGTCCACTGATGCTGGACGGCAGCTGCACGCTGAGCAGCAATGCTCCAGATAGAGTGCATTTGGAAGGATCGAAGCATCGTCGGAATGCAAATTTCACCCCACTTAAGAATGCACCAGCATCCCAGTTTTGAGGGCATTTGAGCTTAAAATATTTGTAGGTTCACCTAGAAGTGATGTGGCACTGGAATAAAGAGGAAAAAAAAACAAAACATGGATTTTATTTTTGTTTCAGATTTACGTTGTAAGTTATTCTGATTGCAGTAAATTAAAAAAGGCACCAGAACACAGTTACATTTCAGTATAGAAGTTTAATATTGACGGCTTTGTCTCCAGGACACCCCTCTTTATCTCTCAGATCACTCACTCAGCTCCTGCAGCTCTGGTTGTGCAGCTGCTTTTGTCATCCATGTTCTAGATGCTGTCGGGCCATTTATCTGCCGGTTGTGTATTGTGCACGCTTCCATGCAACTGAGCCCGGCCACCACAATGGCAGACGGACGATAGAGGCGTCGCGTTAACAGGAGCAGCTCTGAGAGCATCAATGGCTGGCTCGCATACAGTCGGCTCAGCTACTTTCGGACTGACAGCTCATCTTTCTGGTCTTTGCTCCGAGCTGTGTTTGGGGCGTGTGTGGTGGGCAGCGTAAAGAGAAAAGAAAAGGGGAAAAAAAAAAAGAAGGTAAAAACAAGGTTCAAAAGAGTTTCATTCACTTGATGAGGGAGACACTCTGGAGGCTACCCGTGAGGTCAGTGCCCCCATTCTGCTGAGCGTTGCGGGCCTCTGTGTGGCCGCAGGTCAGCAGGTCAGTTCCTGCTCCCTGTGCTCCAGTGGCCAGTGAACCAAGTGATGGAATCAGCATGTATAATTCAGCTGGACGGGGGGGGGATCAGGTGCTCCACATGCCGACACACGATATCACTACATGTGTGGGATGAGGAGGAAGTGATTCTGTGTGTTCCGCTCTCAGCTGTCTAATTAGCTGTGGTTCGGTCAGAAGGATATGAAGAAGAAAAGGCCCTGGGTAGGTAATGATGGTCCACTTTAAGAGAAGTTAGCCGATAAAGAAGAAAATTATTTTAGTTTTTTCACCAATATTGTTCTTCATTTCACCTTGACAGAATTAGTTCTACAGCTGAGTGACAACCAAAAGGTCCCTGGACGGTTCTGTTTGGATCTTCAGAACCAAATTGCAAATGAAACTTTTAAATCTATAAATAAACATTTTAAATAGGATGAACCCACTGTCCCTACACGAGGAAACACCACTTCCTGTGCCATGACCATGAGTTAACAAGCTTATGAGGTCCTACAACTCCCATATATCTTGGAGAAAGATTACAAAAATCACACCAAAGAAAGGTTTGGGTTTCAGGAGGTTAAATGCATCACAAACACCTTCCCTGAATTTTCTGGCCTCTACAGTCCTGCACAGTATCAGTTAAAAAAAACTTTATCAGTTAGTGCGCTCCTCTTCTCTCATTTATTCTCTGTGAGGACGGTTAGGGCCTGTGTGTTTCTTGGAAAATGCTCACTGGGAGATGATTGGACTTTGTGCATGCCCTCAGGCTACATTTTCCCATAAGTCATAAGCCTTAAATCTCGACTGGCTTTCTTTTTTTTACATCTTGTGTTGGTGTGTAGGCGGGCAGTGATGGGGAGAGCATCGGCAACTGTCCCTTCTCCCAGCGTCTCTTCATGATCCTTTGGCTGAAGGGGGTCGTGTTCAACGTCACGACGGTTGACCTCAGGAGGTAAGCGTGCAGGGGCAAACGAGCCCGTAGGCACAAAAACACAATGCGTGTCACTTCTTCCTAACTGTCCGCCGTCTGTGTGCCTTGAGCAGAAAGCCAGCGGATCTTCACAACCTGGCCCCGGGGACACACCCACCCTTCATCACCTTCGACGGAGAGGTCAAGACGGACATCAACAAGATCGAGGAGTTTCTTGAGGCAATGCTCTCCCCTCCAAAGTAATTAGACCGGAAGGTTTTTACGATAAAGGGTCCACGTTCTGCTTTTGGGTGTATTTATTTATTTTCAGCAGCGGCGCCGACGGAAAAGGAAACTATTCAGTCAAGTGAAACAGGGATGTATTTGATTAAGACCAATATAAGCTCACGCCAACATTTATTGTTTGTTGTGGCCGTTAATGGTACGGTTGTTACTGTTTGTGTGTCTCAGGTAGCTTTTTTCACCTTAAATCATGAAATAACTTATGCTGAAAGCTTTACTGACAACAGCCCCACAGTTGAATCTAATTTCATATTATAAACATAGGTGTTGCCTTTTTTTGTTGTTGTTATTGTCTATGAAATAAAAAGCTCAGAGGAGGCATGTGAGTGCTTTTCAAAGAAAAAAGAAAAAGAAAAAAGAAAGACAGCTTAACTAAATCTTTCTTTTATTGCCTGTAAAGTTTTTTACATTATAAATGGACCTTAGTGTGAGAGAGCTGAGGGGGCGGGTGGCCAGCTCAGTGTGAGTGAGTAACATGGTTTAAGTTTGAGCCCAGCTCCAGTCCAGGTGTTAATGCCATCCAGATGGTTCGTGCTGACTGCATCTCCTGCCTCTGTCCCCATGTCTGCTCAGGTATCCCAGGCTCGCCGCCAAGCACAGAGAGTCCAATACAGCTGGAAATGACATCTTTGCCAAGTTCTCAGCCTTCATCAAGAACACCAAACTCGACGCCAACGATGGTGGGCTGCTCACTTTGTGCCATGTGCACTCACATGTCCATGCACGACAGAACAAGATGGGGAAATTACACGGCAGCCATTATTATCTTTCTCCACTAGGCTGTAGCAGAGTCCATTACTTAAGGGCTTCATGAATGAGCTGTATTTTGCTGTGCTGCCACCTAGTGAGATCATTACCATAAATATCCCACCGACTTTTTTTAATGTGCTGGCAGCTGTGTGGTTATTTATTTATTGAAAAGTTTTTTTTTCTCGTGCATTCAGGTCTGGAGAAAGGTTTAACCAAGGCCCTGAAGAAGCTTGATGACTATCTTAACAGCCCCTTGCCAGATGAGATTGATGCAAACAGTATGGTGGAGGAGAAGGGCTCCAACCGAAGCTTCCTGGACGGCAACAAGCTCACCCTGGCAGACTGCAACCTGCTGCCCAAACTGCATATAGTCAAGGTAAGGCCGGACAAAAATACCAGTGAATAGGTTTAGTTAACGCTGCTGTTTAAGATAGAGCAGAGTTTTAGTTTGGAGAAAAATATTTTCTGTTCACTACACATTAGAGATTAGATTTTTCAGGTATAGATGGTAGAAATTTGTGACAACCATAATGTATGTAGTATCTATAAAGTAAAAATAATCAAAAGTACAAAAAAAAAGAAAAAGAAGTGGCAAAATGATTCTGTTTTCTCTCCAGCATGGACAACAATGGGTTGCTAAAGAAAATGTATTCATTTATCAATAAGTCAATTAACTTAGCTTAACGATTAGCTTATACATTTTTGTGTTGCAGCCTAGTTGAGGAAGCCTCTGACTGAACACGCTTTGATGTTTCAGCTTTCAGCTTTGATGCAATTTCAGTAACTGGCTGATAGTTTTACATCCATTTTAGTGATGAACAAAAAAACAAAAGCATACCATGAATAGCTCTTTTAAAATAACAGAGTGATTTAGAGTAATAGTAACCTCACGCCCGCACCAAACCATTGCGCCATGGTTTAAATTTCCCATCTCTCCTAGGTTGTCGCTAAGAAGTACCGCAACTATGACATCCCATCAGACATGACAGGGGTGTGGCGGTACCTGAAGAACGCCCAAGCATGCGATGAGTTCACCAACACCTGTGCGGCTGACGCAGAGATCGAGATCGCCTACAAGGACGTGGCGAGGAAACTGGCCAAGTAACTCACCCACTGAGCTGAGCTCCATCAGAATAAACTAGCAAACAACACGCAACTAAAAAACAAACACAATCTCTGAAAATACAGTATACTGTCTTTTTAGGCTTTTGGTTGTAGCATAAGATTTTTTGTCTGCCACAGCAAACTGGTCAGATGTTTCTTTCCAGCTCCAGATGTGTTGAATGGCTGTACTTCAGTGATCACTGTAACAGAAGTGGAGCAGAAGATAAATCAAAATTCATTTAACGTGACTCAAAAGCAGCTTCAGACATTGCGGCCGTGTAACATCTGACATAACTCTTTTCATTCAAACCTGATTGTGTCTGTCTGTATTTATTTCTCAAAACACAAAGCTCTCTTTCATACGTACTCCACCACACGGCCAAACGTTTTACTAGCTGCTGATGTCAAGGTCGTTCTCTTTATTTATTCCCAAACCCACAGAAGTCTAGTCTGCCTCCAGTGTTTATTATCGAGTCCCGGCTCCTGGGGAGACACCTTGTTTCATCTGTGATTGATGATTAATGCTAAATGTTTGCCGAATGCCGCCGTTCCAATATGCCGTTTCATTACGATCGCCATCTATTAAAGTCAATGTTGTAGTTTTCCTTTTTTTTTAGCGCTGTTTCATTACGCGTACTCGTGTCTTTAGAGCCACTCCTGCTGAAAACATTTTTGAATGGAATTTTCATTTTAAAAGAATAAGTGTAAATGGTCATTTAAAAGAACAAAGTCTGGCCTATGAGGGCTTTAACGAATTAGAACAAAGTTTGTGACAGTATTGCTCGCTTGCATTTGATTTTTGTATTGAAAACCTGATGTAGAACCCTTCGGATATGAAACCTCTTTAGCTTTGTGCCTTTACATGGAAGAATCGGAAACCCATGCCAGTGTCACTGATGGACTCGCTCTGACAAATGCATTACAGTCGGGGTTGAGACGTCTCTTTTGCCTCTGGCTATTAGTGTTCCGTCTGGGTATTGATTTTGTCTTAAGTTACCACATGATATTATAAATGGACAGCCTATTTATTTAGCAGCCCCAATCAGGCCTGATTAGGCAGAGCCATTAGTGCTGTGATGAAAAGCGTCTTCCAGGCCAGGTCCACAACGGTCAGGAGCCCTGCCCTCCAGCCCTCTGACAGAAAGATATTTCCTCCACTCTGACGAGTCTATCGCCATCTGCAGCCTAAGAGTTAAAGTTCAAAAGTATCAGTGTCCACGCAGCGGAGAGTGGAAACTTGTCTCGGGGCTTATCGTCTTTGGCTTTATGTCAGGCTGCGACTATAGCAAGACTTCCTTGAAGAGCCATGAGGCTCTTGTGTGGTTTGGACAAACACATGATATGAAACTGGAGCATGATGACTGAGAGGCTTGCTCATTGCAAAGTTCTGCAAATAAAATAATATTTTCACAGATCTGCTTCTGCCTTTTCTTTTCTTTCCCAGCGAGGCGATCAGTCCACACCGATGCTTTCGCAGGTTGTCAGGAAGGTGGGGGTTGAGAGGTCTCTCTCTGTGATAGCGAGGGAGCTGCAGCAACCTGGTCCTCAAAAGGGTTAAGTGTGTCTGACTGAGCTGATCAAATCCAGTGGTGCAGGTTTGTTTTTCCATCCATAACACAGAGAGAGTGATGACCGCTGACAGGCTTAAATAGAGGCTTCCATGCCAAGGATCAAACGCCATCCCTCTTCTCCACTCTCTCATTAAGACGGAAAACCCGAGCGCCGCCATCCGATCTGTCTCCATTTTTCCTCAAAGGAGTCTAACTTGAAAGATCTGCGCCTGTCGGATTTACAATGGTGGGCGAGTGGTGTTTACTGAGACGCGGACTTGCCAGAAACAACAGTCAAAGAAAATAAATGGAGCCTGCCTAGTGTTTCCACAGGAGTAAGGAAATATGGAGCGAGACTTGTGCCTTGCTGTTTGGTAATTAGTACCTAAACATCCCTGTCCTTGGATCCCATCGCTCACATCCAACATTTCTGCAAGCTGGATAATATACAGTGAAGCATTAACGTCAAACACGTCTGGTCATGGGGCTTGGCACGCCACATTAATCTGTTATTACACTCCCAGTGGATCTACCAGTCGCTGGCCTTGGCTTGGCCACCATACAGGCTGACAAGGACTCACACACAGTGCACTTTTATGGCCAGGTTTAGTAAACCTTTTCAGCTCAGGCATAAATTGTATAAATTGAGTCTTGCTTTGAGACCTGGGCTGATTAAAACAAACTGGTGCTCTTGACGTTTGAGGACCTACCAGAAACAACCCTGTGATCCAATTAGGGCCCAGACCCACAGTTTAAGAACTACTGCCATATAGGCCTTAGTGAGGCCTATATGATGCAAGGGGCATCAGCAAGTCAAATTTAGCTTCTGCTTACCATAGATATTCTGTACCTGGGAGAGTCCCACTGCATATATTTCAGCCTGATGTGAAGTGTGGTTTCCATCATTTCCCCCCCCTTTCAGTAGATTGGTTGAGTTTTCCTGAACCAAATGCAACATATGCTATGTTCCGTTTGAATATTCACAAACCAATTGTGCTATATTGCTAATATTCGAATTATAAAGGTGGAAAGCCAACTAGAATTCATTATCTGAAGTCACAACAATATTGAAATACTCAATCAGCACTTTGTTTTTGGCCGCCAAAGGTTTGTGGGTTGAATGCAACTCACTAGACAGTTCAGGGCTGCAGGTGATTTTTACAGCAGGGCTTGAGCCCCAGAGTGGAGCCACCCGGCCCCTCCAGTTTCGTCTCCGCCAAAATTCACGTCGTGCTTTAAATGACCAGTTCTCATCAGCAGGATTTCGGCCGCAAAAGTGTTCTGCCATTACAAAAATAAACATAGTTTAAGCACGGCCTTTATAAGCAACAGACCCTGATATTAGTTTTAATAAGAAAAAACACACACACACACAGGAATGGGCCGACTCTGAGACCTGTGGTTTATTTGTCCTGTATGAGAAGCAAAGACTTAAGACTCAATCATCCGCCTCCTGGCCGTTGCGTTACTTCAGTGGTTTAACATCCTGTACATGCTTTTTGTCTTAGTGACAAACGCCACTTGATGTGTGATATTTGTCAGCGCCTGGAGGAATGAAGACAAAAACATAGAGAGAGGAAAAGAAAACGGGTTTGCCCAAAGTACACTGTTTATTTGATCTAATTATGGGCAGCGGAGAAGAAGTATTCCAAGCATTTCTATCTGGTGCAATTATTTTTTTTTACCTGGGCTTGTTCAATCAGTGAGTTGCAAAGGGATTGTGCCTAAAAGAAGAACCAGTGCTTGCTGTTTTTGGAGTAAAACTAGATGAGGAACATGTAAACATTTCAGAACAGATTTGGGAGTCTGGGTTCACTTTGCTAACAAGACCTACAAAAGAAATCTCTTAAAAACTCATCCGAGAAACCTGCTCGGAGGAAAAAAATCTTGCCCTTTCAATGACTTTTGGTGCAGCACAAAAAGCTAGCCTGCTTGCCACTCTGCCTGGGTTCTACTGCGTGTGGACGGCTTGTTATGGTAGCTCCCAGATTAGCCTCATTCGGATCCTATCCAGCACGGAGCCGCTGGCTTCAGCAGCGGGCTTCCTGTAGACCAGAAGATGAGCCCCCTGCCACCTCCGACAGCTCTTCATCATCTTGACCTTGATTCTTTATTTCTGTGTTCTCCACCCAGTCTGTTCAAACTCGCTCCGAGCTTGTCAGCCCTTTAATCCTATTTGTTCCTCACAGTGCGAGCAAACAATGTGAGCAGTCCCACCACACAAGTGGGATGTTGTTGAGTCCTCCAAATGTGCGTCTATCTGGATATCATGGGGAGCAACGCTGACCCAAACAGACACAAACTTCACTCCAAACACGCTTTCAGTCATATAACAGTGAAGACTTTTTTCCCACTAAAGTCTCGGCTCCATTCCCCTTCTCCCGCCATTCTTCTAGCTTGTTAATGACTGACATTTGATGTCCAAATCTACCCCTTTTTAGCGGCGAGGCCCTGGGCTGCCTGAGGTGCCTCGCCAGAGCAGAGGAACTGAGCTGTAACCGGAGTCTGTGTTTAAAAAAGAGACAGGGCTGCCGAAGACGAGTCCTCATCGTTTCCTGTTCCCTGAGACATAGAACATCTGAGAGAGAATATCAGATTCTCAGTAGGTCCCCCGGCCCTCCTCCGCTCGCCCATCCTCAGAGGTTTGAGTGGCTTGTGGTGAAGCTTGATGGGGATTATTGATCTGCCTGGCGCGCGCCTGCGGTTTTGGCAAAAGACCGACGGCCTCACCAGAGAGAGTTCTTGGCACACGCCGGCCTCTGTCTTAGATCAGTTGCACGGAGGCTGCGACTGGCCTGCCGCGGCCCGGAGGAAGAGTGGACCGTTTGAGTTTTGATTCATTTGACTGAGACGTTTTTATGCGTATTAAAATATTCCGGTCAAAATTAGGCAGAAGATAACAATAAACATATCTGATTGTGTCTTTTGGCGAGGAGTCGCTCAAGTGAGTAACCATGTCTGCAGACAGCAGAGCCCAGAGGTACTTTTGCTGTTGGTTAGATTTACTGGTCGGGGCTTGAGTTCCAGTTGTGAACCACATGAAATAATCCTCGGTCGCTGGAGAAGGATGTGGACACAGTGCTAATTATGTGAGATGATGATGTCAGGTATTAATACCTACCAGTGGGCCAGAACTTCTCTCTGTGTGTTGTGTTTCAGCCTATATAACCGCACCGAGGTGACCACACTCACTTTACAACTACACTCGCATCCACATGTCGGACATGTCTGGATCCTCGGCAGCCCTCACACACCCGCACTGTCAGGCGGGCGCTCACTTTATCATTCAGAGTTGTAAATCATCGCCTCGCTTGCAGGAAACACGCTGCATTTTATTTTCCAGGCATAAACCATAAAACCTGCCTCCAACACGAGTTATGAGCCTTGGAGACAGAGAGGATGAGTGTTTAAAGCAGAACCAGATACAATTGGTGGGCATCTTTCATCCCCTTTTTTTGTTTTTTTTGTTTTGCCTGGCCATATAACCATGGCGATAAGGTAGATTTTCCAATAAGCCTTGGCATGATCTCAGGAAAACACGATAATGGCGATAATACAACAATAATGTAAACTGCATTGGATTAGAATAAAATTCAACTGAATCGTTTGTTCATCTGGTCAGTAAATGCAAAAGATTTAAAAAAATTTTTTAATAATTTTACAGCTAACAAGATTTAAATAGACATTTTCAAAGAGCAAACAAACATGGTTTACATCGGTAAACAGTCACTTCTCATCATAGATTTACTCATTTTCAAATTCAGTCAAGTCCTCCATATGAATTTGCTTGACTTGGTTCAGTTGCCAGGTTGAGGCCCTCGATTAAAAAACTACCTATGACGGTGTAAATACGTTAATCATACACTTATCAACCAATAACAAGAAGAACTGAGCAATCACCTATCTAAATCAATGGCTCTTCGTCCGATTCTCTCCTGATAAAGTTGAAACAGCCCTCCATATGACAGCAGGAACACATGGAGCTCCTCCATGCTTGCCCTCAGGAGAAGATGGAGCCCCCACCCAGATTTTTGAAATTTTATTGCCTGGCTGAAACCTACGGAAAAGGCCTGTTTTGCATGAATATTTGGCACGGCGCTCCAGCTGATCCCGTCTTGTGCTCTGTAAACTCAGTCGCGCTGCAACAGCGTTGCCACTTTTTGACAGCTGAGATGGTGTATAATTTGAAACACTGACATGAAGCGACGGCTCCGGACAAAGACGCCTTTTGTTTGTGTGTCTGGTCGCTGTCCATGGTCCTGACACACACACTTTCAAAGTAATTCCTCTAGTTTTTTTTTTCTTTCTTTCTTCAGGCCGGTATCATGTTACATAATCTGAACTGGCAGAACTCAATAAACGTAGGCATTTTGGGTTTCATAACTGCACTTTGTCAGAGTTACGTTTCACTTCGTAGCAAACGGCTTCATGGAATCAAATGTTTCCAAAGAGGGCTGGGGACACAAGGCAGGCTTTAAGCAGTGATGAATGGACTCAGCCGGAGGAGGCCGTACGCCCTACCATGCCTGAGAGGTTCTGGGCCAACACTCGGATGCAGATCACTTGCCACTTGATCATTTTCTTTTATTGCAGGTCGAAAGACAAGTTGCCCTTTGCAGCAGATTTTCATATCTGGCGTTCATCTGTGGAGGAGCAGTTCTTTCACAGCCCCAAATGTGGGGTGTTGCAACAGCCATGCTAATACAATAAGTACCACGTTGGCCACATCGAGTCTGCCTTTGGCTGTGCTGAGAGCCTTATAGGTGGGATCACAGATCCCAGTGGCTGAGTGAAAAAAAAATAAAAAAGACAGAAAAGGAAAAACCACTAGAGTGCGCCAAAGTACACAGTTATTGTTGTCACA